GAGAGCTCACTCGAACAGCCAGGCTTCATATGCAAAAAAGTATCACCATTCAGTTAAGTTTTCCTTATGCGTTAAGAAAAGCAATTCAAAGAAGAGGAAAAAGAATATAAGAAGAAAACAAAACTCATGTAGGCTATCCCTCTTCCACTGACACCCTAGTTCAATTCCTTGGTAAATAACCATCCGTCTCATGATTATATTAACAATCCTGCTCACGCTAGTGTCACAAACAATGAACCATCTCCAACAATTTCCATTATTCGGAGAACATATTTTGAAGGGCGTTTTGATCATCACAATCATCGATTATACAAGTAACATCAGTTGATCAAACGTTCAGCAGTAAAGAAAATAGTTTCTTCTAAACAAATATTAAATCAGTTACTCAAGTTTTAACTTAGATAATTATAGAAGCGCCGTCATGAATTGAAATTTTGAACGGTACTAAACCAGAATAAAACTAAAAAAAAATAAACCTAGAACAGTTTCAAATACTACAAAAAACCCAGAAAAATTTTGCTCATATTCCATCATTTAAACTCTTATAATCCCGATTAAACAATATCCAAGAAAACCCAAAATCAGAAACGCCCCCAACAAGTAAAACAAATTCTAACGGACAAACAAAAAAGGTGAGAGTGGAAATACCTGTTGAACATAATTGGCATGCATAACAACAAGCATACAAAAGGACGTAATGGCAATGAAGAGATAGATATACTCCAAAGCAACTCTCACTCTCGGCGTTAATATCTGAGAAAATCTCTCTTGCACCCTGATAAAAGTTTGCTCTGGATCCATCTCTCTCTCCCACTATCTCTCAATCAGGTACTCAACAACTTTCAGATGAAACAACCTTTCATTTCTGTCTTTCTCTCTCTTATCTTTTTCTTTTCTGTATTTCCTTATTAAGAATTTCTTCTGGGTTTATCATATGATAGCTGTCGGAGTTTGAAAATGTTATTTATTGATAATTCTGATTTTGACCGGCATCCTTCCTCCTTTTTGTTTTTCTTTGGAAACGACGACGCATACACGTGGCTCGGGTTTGTTGTTATAAGCGGTGTTTGGCTAAGTAGCGATTTGTGTCCTACGTCAAGAGTGCGGTCATCTCTACCTCGGTTAGTGACAATCTTATCCCGTATAAGAATAAATCCTTTTCTCTGTTTTTGGACATAATGGATTGATTAGAATAGCTTTTTCCTTTCTGGCCAATTAGCAAATATCTGATTAAGACAATATCTTTGAAAGGAAATTTGTATCATAATAGTGATTTTACTTGCCTTAATTATGTCTTATATGGAATTAATTTATTATCATAGATTTAATTTAAATGGAAACCACCAATTCATGATTCCAAGTAAGTAAAAATTTTAGGACTATACTAATAAATCACTGTCATATTAGATGAAATAATTGGCCCAAAAAAACATAAAACATATTAGGATGATTAGTATCTTCCATGTAAAATTAACAAGGAACAATCATGACCTAAAAAAAAAAAGTATGAATAGAATTTTTTTGAAAAAAAAATAGATACCATAATTATTTTCAGTAAAAAAATAAGTTTATTAATATTCTAAAAATATAGATAAAAAAGAAAATTCATTTTTTGTTTTTCAAATAGAATGTTTGTGCATTACATTTCATTGTTTGCTTTGGGGTGTATTGAATTTCAATAATAAAAATTGAATATATATATATTTAAATGAAGAATGTTGTTTTCTATGTAGAAGGGAAACCAAGTCTATTAGTCATCTATTTTTTTTGTTGTCATGAAACTTGGGGAATTTGGTACAATTGTGCAGTTAATTGGGGCTTCAGTTGGGTCATTCACAGGGATCCCTTTGTCAAATTTTTGACTTAGAATGATGCTGCCAAAGTTGTTGAACATGAGGAAATATGGCGGATGGCCTTTAATACAACTGCGTGGCCCATTTGGTTAGACCATAATGAAGTTATCTTTAAAGGTAAAATTTGGGACAGCTAACAAGTTTATGATTTGTCCAAGTCACTTGGTTGCGTGGCGAGCAAATTCTAAGTGGCCAGAATTGAATATCTCCATGATGGATGTGCAAAGGTTTCCCAATGTTGTAACTCCATCTAAAGCCGGCCAACTTAAACTTGGCATTGCAAGCTCCCACCAATGGTGTGCTCAAATTTACTGTATTTAATGTTGATGGGACTTCGGACAGAAACTTAGGTGAAGCCGTTATTGATGGAGTTTTAAGAGATGGTGATGGGAGTACTCACATTCTCTTTTTCTTCATCTGTGGGTATTGTGGATGCTTATGCTTTTGAGCTTAAAGCTATTAGGAAAGCTTTTCAAATTTATGTTGCCTCAAAATGGGCTACCCACAAGCTTATTATTGAAAATGATTCCGAAAATGCAGTTACATAGGGGTATAACCCACTGACTGCACCATGGAAACTTAAGACTGTTGTTGTTCAGATTGAGTTTTTTAAGTCTAAACTCAATCTTGTTAAATCTTGCTTTTTGGGTTCATTGATTAATGCTGTGAAAGAGTAGTGCATGCTGTGTAGGGGTCTTGCTGTTTTGTATGCCTAAATCCTCTGATTTTTTTATTTTAAAGGTATAATCAATCATTTCATAACTGGAGTAACAGAGGCGTTAACCTCCAGGGAAGTACAAAACGTGTTTGGCAATTTCAATTTTATGCACACAAGACCCTAAGCATACAACCCAAACTGCTTTTGTGGACAAGCACCAAACAAGACAAATCTTACCCAATATTCACACCACCTACATCTATTCCAGTGCCGTCTACCCGCCGCAAAAGAATAAGCAAAAATAGACCAGACAGAGACTAAAGGCACTCCCTACACAATATAGACAAACCTCCCCTCCCCAGAGACGACTAGGTACTCTTCCCTTGCAAAACGGAAACAAACGCACAATATAGACAAACCTCCTCTCCCAAGAGACGACTAGGTACTCTCTCCTTCCAAAAGAAGAACTATAGCAATAATACCATTTGGTAAGAGAAAAGTAAAAGTATAATTTTTATAATGTGATTAATTAAATTATATTATAATATTTATTTTATAATAAATTATTATAATGTAAATTAATATAATTAGATTGTATTGTATTTTATAATATTTTTATTTTTTAATTTTGTTAAAAATATTTTATAATATTATAATTTATTTTTTTATATATAGATTTTGAGAGATTTTTTATATTATTCTCGATAATTATAGTAATCGTTAATAAAATTTATATTATATTTTTAAAAAATTAAAATAAAATATATAATATAAAAAATTATATTAAAATAAAAAAATAAAATTAAAATAAAAAATAAAATTAAAATACATGATATTAAAAATATATTTAAGAGATGATATTATATATAAATTAATAATAAAAAATATAAGTATATTAAATTTATATTTTAATAAATAGAGATAATTTTAAAAATTGATATTACAATCTTAACAAAATATTTAGTAAATTAAACGTTGTAATGTTAGTTTTTTTATATTTTAATTATTATTTTATTTATTTATTGAATATTATAATATTATTTTTTTAATAATTACATTATTTATAATTATATTATTAATAATCACGAACTTGTAATTATATTATATTATAAAATATTAAATGTCTCACTCTCACAGGCAAAGAGCTTTCACACCCTCCATTTCGCAACCTTGCAGTCAGAAATATCAAACAAGCTGCAAAGTCCAATCATCCCTCACACAGATAAGACACCAATCTAGCCGCCGGTGCCATGAACACCCAACATCAACAAGAAGGAGAAACAGACACAAACACAACAGCAAACCATCAGTCACCCACAGCATTGATCAGATAGTTATCCCTCTGGATCCCTCGTTTAGCAAGGCTATTCGCAATGTCATTTGCCTCCCTAAGCGTGTGATGGATGTCTTACTCTTTGACTTGAAATTTCAAGTTTTCAATGTGCAAAATAACCTTTGTCATACGCCATGGAGTAGACTTTGGCTACCTACACCATCTAACGGCATTAATACAGTCACTTTCGATCAACAATTTGTGAGACTCATTTTAGCTTGAGACAGCGAAGATTAAGAACGCTTCCCTAATAGATAAAAGTTCTGCCATACTAGAATCTTCAATTCCAATAGTCTTAGAGAAAGTAACCCTAATAGCACCATTTGCATCACGAAGCATTGCCTCATCAGGGCTTCCTTGACAGCACCATCAACATTGAATTTCATATGCCTTTCATTAGGCCTCTTCCCCTCAACAGCACCTCTTCGTTTTTTATGCTTTCCCATCTGACTTGAATTGTTAGGGGTCCTACAGACATCAAGAACAAATTTGTACATATCCTCTTATTGGTGCAATGAGGTTTCACTAGCCTCCTGTGCTTGTTAGGAGGCTGTAAATTTTGTTTTTTTGGGGTATACAGGGTGATCTAGTTGCTGCATATTGTATTTTTGTTGTCTGCAGACTTATGTCTTATGGTGGATGGAGGTTTATTGTCCTCCTTTTTGTGTGTATTTTTTGCATAGCTTATGAAATGAAATGATTTCAGCCCTTAAAAAAAAAAAAAACTTGATATACTTATGAGTTACCATCATTTTCTTTAGTATAAAAAATCAGGATAATCTAATTTCCAGGTACTCTAGCTATTTTCATTGCCTTGTCTATATACACATAAAACTGAAAAGGAGAAAAAAAAATCTAAGCAATAAAAACTAAAGTAATAGAGTAATGAAGAAGTGTGGATATTGCTATATTGGATGGGATGGGACTTCGAGAAATATAATAATAGACTTAGCCCTTAAAAAAAAGGAAGAGGACTATGGTATTACTGGTAATATATAAATTATGCATTGAAAGTAGTTAATTAAAAATATTGGGTGTGTTTGTTTTGTATAGTACAAAGTTATACACCAAAATGAAAGTACATTACAGGCATGAAGTACAAGCTTCTTCCTCTTTTCCTTGTTGCCATCAATCACTCTTGGAAAAACAATCTCTCTTCCACTTTCCCCCCCTTTCTTTGTGTTTCTTTTTGCACCTTGCGGTGATATTGTTCTCTTCTTTTCCCTACCTAGCTTTGCATCTGCCTTCATCCACACTCTCATCGTCCTTCACTACATGATGAATCCCTTCAACTTTGCTCTCGCCTTGGGTGTCTCTTCTGACGTTTCATGTTTACCAGGGAAGTGTAACAGATCCATCTCAAAGGATTTTTTTTGTTTCCTCCGAAATGGGAAAGCCCCCTTTCTGTTATTGAAATATTGTTGGCTTCATCTGCTTCACTCCCCTCGTTATGCTGAAAATATTATTGATTTGAGCATATTTCATTTGTAGAAAACCAGCATTAGCAGTAGTTTCATCCACGGACTTCATTCTTTCTTTTTTTTCAGTTTCTGATACTTTAACGGTTCTTGCATCATCATGATCTGTTTTATGCTAGGAAAAATAAGGATGATCATCATCATCATCATGATAATTTGTTTTCTTTTTCCTTTTTAAAACAAAAGACCACTTATTAGATAACATTATCTATTCTGAAGCTAGTTTTTGTGAATTACAAGAGTGGTTCATTTACATCACAGAAGAATATTTATATATTCTTGGTCTTGCAATGCTGAGTTGATCCGGTTGTCACTTCTCTCTCTCTCTCTCTCTCTCTCTCTCTCTCTAGATCTCACAAATGTTAATGTCTTTAATTTAATTTTATGAAATACATTAAGTTCTAATTGACTTTATGCAGTGGCGACATGTAGCATTCTCATTACTACATATATGACTGATAATGAGAGGTATCAAACTTTGTTATATTTTGACTTTTCTATCCACTCTCTCTCTCTCTATTGGTGACTCTATACCTATGATTCCTTTCCTTAATTATTATTTTATGGCATTAAATTTTCAGCCTCACAGCAGTAAATAACATTCATATTTCTTTATTCTCCATCATGTCTTTATGACCTTCTTTCTTGCAATGTATAGTTTTCTTCTTCTTTCTTTCGGGATGGTCTAATTTCCATTATAATCTGTAAGGCTTTCCAACATATCTATTCATCACCTTGCGTTTTTTCTGTTTCTGTTTTCATATAACTACATAATCATGGTTTCAACGTTGGCTAGTACAATATTTACTTGAATGGATATGCGTTAATTTGTCATTTCATGTGCTATTTCTTCATCTTCACTGCAATGATCTGTTTAGGCTTTAGTCATATGTACCCACGCCTGTGCTTTTAATCCTGCAAGCTGTTTGTTTACAGATTGAAGAGACTTTCAGTTTAACCTTTTGGTTTTGCTTTTTTGTGTGAAATGAACTAGGAATTTAACCGACCCTCTCTTTGATTTATTCGGGCGCAAAGCTTATAACTCAACATGTCTGCTCCACATCTTGACAATGTCTCTACGATTCCTGAGGCCGCTGATGATTTATGGCCACTTGTACAAGAAAATAACAGCAGCCTGGTGCTGGAACCGAGCATGTTTCACTACCAAGAGGGCAGAAATATTGAAAAAGAATTGCTGGAAAACGAAAATGTTCATCAGAAAGATGACCAAGATTATAGTTTATCAACTTCTGTTCATGTCGTACTCGATCAATGGTCGTTTGCCCGAGTAAGCAGCAGCTCATCACTGCCTATCATGGTTGCCGATGAGTTGGATTCGCTATTGTTTCTTCAGCAAGAAAATTCTCCACTACCCGACCATAACATTGATAAGGTATTACAGAAGGAATTACAGTATGGTCCCAGCAGCGAAAAGGGCTTGTTATCTCCTGTCTATGCTTCAGATTATGCCTGTTCACTTCTACCCTTTAACAGCACATCACTATCTATTGAAGATAATGTAAGAACCGATGAGCTTGATTCAAGCAGATTTGTTTTAGAACCATTGGAGCCAAATATTGAGGAGGGATATAATCCCATTGATAATAGCTTGTCTGCAAGACTTGAGGATTCAGATGAACTAGTTCTGCTTCTACAAGAATGCAGCACTCCACTTCCTAGTATGGACGAAAAAACAAGGGTTGATAAGACAGATTTAAGCTTGGTCCCCGAACAGGAATGTTCAGCAGTAGCTGAACCTAGCAGTGGCGAAGTATTGGTGGCCAAACGATTCAGCGCCAAGAATAGAAGGAGAAACAATTATAGGCTCAAGGTCTTGCAAACTGGCAACAAGGAGGTTCAAGCTGATGAAGGAGAAGGATCAACTGTGAAGAAACAAGAACATAACGCGAAGGAGAGGATACGGAGGATGAAGGTGCATGCGTCCTACTTGGCACTTGGAGCATTGATTCCTGATTCTAGTAGGTCAAAGGTGGATACACCATTTCATCATTCACAATAGATTCACTTTTCTTGGAGGAAATAATCTGGACTAAATAAGTAAAAGCAATCAGTTGAAGCCGTTATTTTGTCTGTCTGTCCTTTTTCTCATGGTAATTTGCTATCTTGCAGAAAAGGAAGAGTGCGCCGCTTATAATTGACAGAGCTGTTGAATACATTCCAGAGCTCGAGGAAGAAATAGAGAAGCTAACTCTCAGGAAGAATGATATGTTATCAACAATTAAACATAAGCAACCTCTCAACCAAAACCCACACTTAAAACCTGATCAAGATCCATCAGTTTCAGTGCATGAAATCAGACAAGGTGAAATTATCACACAAATATACTCGCAGATACATCCAGATGATGCTTTCTCAAACCTACTACAGAAGGTAGAAGAAGAAGGCATGTGCATTATGAGTGCCTCAACGCTTCAAGTCTCTGATGATGGAGTTTGCTACCATTTACACATACAGGTCGGCTTTCTTGCTTGCCATTCAAACCTTAGAATAAAAATACTGATTACAAGTTAATTAATTAGTTCATTTATCATATATATTAGCTAGTTAAAACATATGCTCTCCTTCTTCTTCCCCTCTAAGTAGTTTATCTATTTTGAAATTAAGCAGCTGAAGGCGAGTTCAGGTGGAGCAAGCCATCTTGCAAGTTTAAGAGAAAAGGTAATTTCATGGTTGCGCTAATTCCTTGAGTTTCCATCATGAAGAAATCCTTCACAAGGGCTGTCCTTAGCATCATTTTTTCCACTAATAGATAGAAGGTTAAAGCTATAATATACCTTTTTTGTGATAGCAATACTATATATCAAGTTTGTGCCTCCCAATAATTGATTAACAAGCGTTGGTGTCAATGCTCAAACACCATTTTAGCTTAATTAATGCATAGAAATGGAAAATATTCCCAATATACTTTGTTTTATCATATTCATATATGTATGATCTTTATGATAGTTTTGTGCATTATGATTAGCTTCAAGAGCTTCTAAGTTTCATTTTGTTAATTATACGTTCCTAGATTCATAGTTGGATCATGGATGGAAGGAGAATTAATTGTTTGTAGTTAAGCCTTCTAAATTGTTTTCCAATATGAGATCTGGCTGCAGAATATTCCAATGACATTTTTGTAGAATGAATAAATGCAAAGTGATATTAAGTCTTTTTTTTTTTGTTAAATTTAGTAAAAATGGTGCAACTTTTGCATGTTGATTATAACAATTCAATTAGTTTATTTATTCCAATTTCCAACTGTTGTGAATTTACCTCTCCAAATAATTGATGCTAATTAAGAGCCTACTTTCCCATACATCCCCCAAGGCTATTTATCCTTGTCATATTACCAAAAAGAAAATGTAGGTTAGCTGATTTCAATGTTTAAGATCAACCATGGTTAGGTTAGGTGATGTGTTCTTTCCTTTTCCCCTTTTTTTTTCTCATTGAAATTTGTTTATATCTGGATGATACTTGCTAATATCTCTAATATTCTCTTGTTGTTTTTATAAGTTAGTAAATTTTATTGATATTACAAACAAGATGAGAAAATTTTCTCCTCTCTAAATGAGGAGAGTTTCTCATCCCTTTACTGGCTTCACCACGTTCATTACCACTCATGTTAGAAACCATATTCTGCACTGCCAGTCCCTCAAAAATCACTCATTGCCCTTATACTTAATCACCGGATTCCCTATAACACCTACATACAAAACACTGATACATACAGCTAGCCCAAATTTGTCCATATCGTAGACATTATATTATACCCATTAATTTAAGTCTTACATACACCTTAACAATACCTATATATCCACATAATAGAGATAACCACATATCAACAACATGAGGAGTCCATTGAAGCCATCAATCTGCTGAAATTAATTTCTTGTCGAATCATATCCGTGTAGCACATAGGATCTCTCTTGTTCCATCTTAATTAGATTTAGACGTCAATTTCAATTACATTAATAGATATCCCCTCAGCTATCTAAGAAAAGTTGGAAGCTTTTATTATTGCTAATTTTTTGAAGTACATTGAAAAAGGAGGAAGTCTTACTTTGGATTTTATCTACACATTGGAGATGGACACATATTATTGATCCAAGTTTATATATTGAACCGTTATGAAGCCAAAAAAAGTAACAAAAGCATATATATATATATATAGCCAGAGATAAAAGATCTATCAATGTCTATGTGATTTTTCATCTTAAAAAACTTAAACACTAATTAATAGGTCTCCTGTTTCATTAAGAAGGAAAAAACCCTAAGGACAGCAGAGCAGATTTAACACGAGCAGTTTTGATTGAGATTGAAGGTGAAAGTCACTACCAAAAGAAGTTGCAGCCTGATAAATCTGCCTGAGTTTCTTTGCCACATCAATCATCGTTGGTCTATCTTCTTCTGAGTTGCGGATGCATCTAAGGGCAAGCACTGCAACAGCTTGAAATCCCTCCTCTTTCCCAGTCCAGGTCCCCTCATCTAAAATTCTAGAATCAACAATGTCAGTAATCCTATCATCTTCTATTTCTTGCTTCACATCATCTATGATAGGGTTAGTTTTAAAAAAGAATAAAAACGTCCATCATTTATAGGGCTGCTCCTACTATGAAACTCATAGCGGTAAAAGCCATAAAATCTCATATTTCCGGTCAAAAGCACGAGTAAAAGTACAACCAAAACTGAAAACATCATTCTTCTCATTGGAGCATCCTGTAACCTTGCAATATTCAGGAGCAGCGCATCCCATTGTATCTACCACTTGATCCCTGTACATGGGACTTACCTTCAGGGATAGGAAAGGAGAGTGAGAAATCAGACAACTTAGCAACGCAATTTTCATCCAGATAAATAGTCCAAGGACTTATATCTCTATGAATAATTGGCCAAGGATATGCAAAGTGGAGATAAGCAACTGCATTAGGTATATCAGCTGCAATCTTTAACCTTGATGTCCATGCCAGTGAATGGGAATCATCAAGACTGAAAAGATGATAACCCAGAGTCCCATTCTTTGTAAATTCGAAAATGGGGGTCGGAACTGGAATCTCTAAGCAGCATCCTAACAACTTCAAAACACTTTTATGATCACTCATTATTGATGCAAATACAATTTCATTGATTGCTCTTTGGTAATTTTTCAAGTCTTGGTTTCTATAGTTCCTAACCAATACTAGTTGACGGTCTCGCAGACAACCCTGGTACAACTCAGAGAATCCATCAGTTTGAGGAACTGGGCTTTGTTTTATATGCTGCTTTCCTTAGCTCTTTATCAGAAAAGTTTCAGATAGGAAATATTACATTTCCCATTGCAGGTGGCAATCAGCTTCTCCGGTAAACTTTTTCCATTTCTCATAAATGTTAGTGTGGGTTCATCTTCTGCTTCCCTCCCCTTCATTGTTCTCAAACGTTGTCGCGTGTTTATCAAAGTCCCGTGATTCAAAATAGTTCAGATAAATTAACCATGCAAAGTAATGTCGACAGGCTCCAAAAACCACACACAGGTCAAACCAATAAACCCTATTGGGCTAAAAAGCAGGTTATCAAAAGAAAAAGAAGAGAAACTTTAGCAACTGCATAATCGAAACAAAAGAGGAAAACAGATTAAATAGTACCAACTAGCAAGGAAGGAAACTACCTCTGGATGATCATCTCATGGATGGAAGGCAGGGTACTGCAGAAAGAATTGCATGGAGATCAATTAGCGGTATAAATATCAAGATTTCAATATTGCAACGAACTTCATACCTTGTTCTTGGTTTCTTGTGGATTAACCTTCATAGGATGCATTGTTCTCTCCAAGAAGCCTTTCTGTCTTGTTTCAGTTATACAGATTCGTAGAATTAGATAACTACCGCTTACATTTGCATTTACGTCGGAGTGATAAATCTCATGCTTTATATTACCAACCAAAAACAAATCAATTGCTGAATAAATTATGACAAGTCATCAAGGTTGGAGTGAACAATTTAAAAATGTTGAATGCTACACAAATAATTTGATAAAATTACGGGGTGGTGTTGGTTGGAAAAGCAGAATAAAGAAAACTCTATGGGCAAAAACACAATTTTGGAGAAGCCAGGGGGCCGCCCCCGGCCTCATGCCGGTAGAGAAATACTAGAATGAAGGCAGCTCGCATCGACCCGCAAATGGGAGAGAGAGGCCCAAGGGAAATGTTAGTTAGCAGAGTAACGAGAATAATAAACCTTAAAAGAAACATGAAGGTCCAATCGAAGTGGTTTATTATTATTATTATTCTATTTCAATCCAAAGCATTTCTTTCAATTCAAAACAATGATAATCCCCTCTCTTAATTCAATTATGACCAAAAAAAAAAAGGGGTTAAAATCCAATGTTTGTGTGATAACTCATTTAACTGATGATTTTATTAGTGTTTATAATAAAACTTCAAACCCCCGGTCCAAAATTATTTTCCTTATCAAGTATGACACAAATAATTAATTATATTTAGATTACGCAATATAAATATATAATCATCATAACTCAATTTAGTTCAGTTGGAATGACTTAAATCATAAATAATAAAAAGATTTGGGTAACTCATAAGTAGATTTGACAAATTTTAAATATACAATATTGAGTGAAGTGGATTTAGATTTTGCATAATCTTAAAATACAGAATTAAATAAAATTAAATTTTATGAAGACTTTAATAAAAAATGGTTGGAAGTAAGTCTCTAAGTGACATTCATAAGAGAAACAAAAAACAATTAACTAAAACAATGAAACATGAAATAGGTAATCAATGGCAGCAATAATAGACACAATCACCATAGCAGTTGTTAAAGCTCCCTATATAATTATGCATATCATGTTTACGTTTTGAAAATCCCTATATCATTCAAGAATGAACTCAAGAATTTTTCTAAAAAATGTCATAATTCAAATAATGATAATAATATTTTTCAGGTAGTATTTAAATATTAACATATAAATTACTTTTCAATAAATTTACTTAAGGTCTCTAACCCCACTTTTTATAAAATTGTAAAAAAAAAATTAGTGAGTTTATTAGTATCCTTAACTACTTAAAACTTTAACATAATTAATATAATAAGTAAAATTTTGTTATATTTCGGTGAATAAGTGATGTTATGTGACATCGCTTGTCCTAATGTAAGTCCACTCTTGATATTATGAAAAAACAAATAATTGATAAATCCTAGACCCTTATCTTGTTTTATACTTCAATCATATAACAAACTTAATTTTTATCATTAATTTCATCACTCAATTAACAGATAAATTTTTTTTACTAAATAATGAATTTTCTCAATTTGTAAATCGTATATTTAATTATATTATGTTTTATAATTTATATAATAAGTATATTGTATTCGTATTTTTGACACTACGAATTAATTATGTCATTTATTTGAGTGTTATATTCTAACCTTCGTACTACTAGCACCCTTTAGCAGAAATTACCGGCCCACCTCATGACCAGCTAAACCGATAAACCAAAAATGAAAATGACGCAACTTGGTCATTCTGGACTCATGAGGGGCAAAAGCGTAATTACATTGTATCACGGTTAAAGTTAAGCCCTCACTAAA